GCTCCCAAGAATTTGACAGCTATAGCTCACCTTTGTTTCTTCAGGTGTATTTGGTATCTCTCAAATGGTTTTCACATCTGTAAAACACTCTGAAGTTAACATTATATATTTGATTAAACATGGACAAGGTCTAACACAGCATGGCAAGATTTTATCCATTTGTATTAACTGTTTTCTCCACAGATCTCTGATGAGTACCATAGCATGGATAAGAGGTATTGACTTGGTTAGTTCTTTCCTATCTTTACTTATCCCTTTGTAGTCATTCCACATTCTGGGGATTTTACATGGAGCCTCCTTGTATTATTTTATTCTTGATAAACTCATGGGTGATGGCTCAAGTTGCCTGACCCTAAGGAGGCAGAGGATCCCTCTTGTCCCTGATGCACCTGTTGGTTCCCCAAGTCAGGTAGGTCCTGGGTCTTCTGCCTGGCTGTGGTCATATCTGCTGCTTCTCCACTGACCACACCAGGCTGCTGGGGGAGGCCCTGGTGGGAAAAACTGCCTCCACTCTTAGTATAGCCTTTCTCAAGAGAGAAATGTACCTTGTTTAATCTCTGGGGATCCTTAACCACCCATGGACCATTTTTTATACGTTGTATGCCTTTTGTGACATGTTCCTCAGGTTTTAAACCCTTCCAGAAACTCCTTAGTACATAATTTGGGGTTTTATTTTTTTGTCAATGTTTTCTTTAAGACTTTGACTAGACATAAATCTTGCCACATTTGTCTTTGAGTAACACAAATGTACATCGTTTTCTACCTTGTCTTTTTAATATCTCTTGTAGGTTGTTCTATTATTTTACAGACATTTTTTGCATACTGGTTTGAGTCACTTAGATCTTCTAAAGTCTCCCTTACTTTACAAAAATCCTTCCCCATTAAGGGACTTAGCAAAACCATTAATGTTCCATACCATTCTCAATGTCCCTGTTGAATTAAGCTTTTCTTTAAATCTCTGGTGAACACAGTCGTATCTGACCCAGTGAACTGGGCATCATATCTTGCTCTCCTTATACCTAGTTTTCACTGTAAGGCCTGGCCCCCTTCTATGGTTCTCCAGCCGCTGCTAACCACAGGAACCTCCATTGGCAGTGACCAAGCATCTTTAATGGCTAGTACATGCTATTCCATTAGGGAATGCTCCCCCCTGTATTAGCCTCATGAGCCACATGGTGAGGGGCTCCTTCATTGCTTGTTTGAAAGTCTTCCTCAGTTCCAACAGTTCCAGTGTGGAGTATTTCTTGCTGGCTATAGTTCCTTGGATTGAATCTTTGCTAGGGATTTTATCAGTATGTTGAAACATGACTTTTTCCTTGTTGAATCTGAGTGGCATTTTTAGCTATTTCTATTCCTAGGTTGTTCCCTTTCTCATTACTATCTGTCCTTTTCCATGGATCCCTTGACTCCTGGTTCCAGGATGAGCCTTGTATCACAGATCTACTCTGGGCTCTCTTTCCTCTTCAGTATCCTAGCCTTAAGCACGTTAAAATCTCCCATTCCCTTTCTCTCAGGTGAGGTTTACTTGCAAGTTCTGAGGCTAATACTTAATTTGACAGTAACTCCTTCCTTCTGCCCCAGACAACTCTTATCATGCAAAGAAGTGACCAGGAAGCTTTAGCAGCTGCTTTTTTTCTTTTGGTCCCCAGACTGTTTCCATGGCTTGTAAAACTTTTTTCTAGAACTTCCAGCATCCTTAAAGAATTTTCATACACATCTGGTAGCAGTCCCCATTGTTCAAGCAACTGTGCTACTTTATGCGATTTACAAGATAGCCTCCTGGGGATTTCTTTCATTGAATTCATCTGCATGGGAGGCCTCATTTAAGTTACATATCACACTATCCATTGCATAAACCATGTGACTGCTTCTAACCACACTATGCTTATGGGGATTGTCCACATCTCCCATCCCCCAACTTTGCTTCAGCCTTTCTCCATATCAGAGATCTCATCATTGCTCTTCCCAAACACCTCTAGTTTTTCGTATCCTGCACATCTAACTGAACTAAGCCAATTTGTAAAGCCAAATTCTCTTCTAGGAGGCCTGCACTGTGCACATTATTGGCTCTCAGGCCCTCTGTGAGGCACACTGGGACCTTCTCCCCACACTGTCCTTACAAAACCAACACAATATATTGGGTGTCATAGAGAAGAGGGTTACTTACAAAGGCATGCACCTGTTGGCTTTTTTCCCTATATCTCAACTGAGCTTTTCAGATTGGTGAACACCAGAGCACCCCCAAGATGGCAAACTTCCTGCCACCTCCTCAGCGTCCTCCTGTCTGTCCTTAGACTCTCCTCCTCATAAAATTGAAGCTGACTGATTGCCTGGGAGGGGTGACCATCTCCCTCCCTTCCTACAGAGTCTCTTAGAGTTCAGGTATTCAGCTGTTGCTAGTTCTTTTGGAGGACATGCCTATCGAACATCATTCTTCCCTTCAGTTTATTTCTTAAATATACCGATTCATCTGAAGTCTGTGCCATTTTGCTGAACAACTCTCTAGACTGGAATTTCTCATCTATGGCTGCCATCAGAGCCAGTAGGTACTATTGAAACTGACCATTCTAGGGTCTAATCAGATGCTATAAATAACAATTCTAGATTGTACTAATGTTAATCACTGTACTATATGGCTCTTACAGTTTCTCAAGTTTAAGGATTTCTGCAGTTTCTCTGTTTCCATGACCTCTTACATTCAGGTTTCTATTTCCATAATGCTTTCATGTCCCAGAGCTTCCCTGAGTCTGTACCCTCATGGTAAAATGCCCTGAGCATTTTTTATATCAAGGTGAAAAAAATCACTGACTGTGAACAGATGTCATAAACCTAACTCCTACCACATCTGCATAACAACAATACTCTTTTAATAGATAAATTTATTTTGTTTTACAAATAAAAAAAGAAGTTAAAAGAATTTAGCATGAGGACCTGAAGAAGTTGCTCGACAGCTAAGTACACAGGCTGCTCTTGCAGAGGACTCGGTTTGATTCTATGTACTCATATAGCTGATAACAACCATGATTAATTCCAGGGTATTCAACACCCTCTTCCTGCCTCCACAGGCATTGCATGACCCAGGTACCCAGGTGCACTTACATGCATGCATGCAAAAAA